TCCTCTACAATGGGTACCAGGGTCCTTTCCCGGGGGTAAAGCCGGCCGGGGCGTGATGCTGACCACTCACCCCCATCTAGTGCCGAGGTCAAGAAAGAGAGGAGCTATACCTCCACTCACCCCAAACGCCTACATGGCGTAGAGTGGGACAAACTTTACTTTACTTATTAGGAGAAATCAGAAGAGTAAATACACTATGCACATACATTTTCAGTATGTATAAATTTTCATGCCAATTGTATTACCACATTCCCTTACTCTTCTTAATTCACACTGTTTTGCCCGGTGTGATGTATTTCATGAAAGAAGTGTTGTACTTGTATGTGAGCATTCAACTAAGCTAAGATTTGATCAGTCTGGTATAAATACTCATCACACAGGGTAGGAGGATAATGATGATGATAAATAACAGATCTATAATTTCCAAATACTACTTAGTCTTAAACATATTATAATGAACTAATCTACAGCCAATTTCCAATAAGCAGCTGCAATTACAATTCTTAAATTAGAAAAGAAAAATGTTCTTACTTACCCACATGTCATAACATCAGGAACACCATATGTGCCCTCACTCAGTTCAATTCTCTCTGTGCCAGTGGGCTTGACTTTCAATGATGACAATCCAAAACTCTGAGTGTATGAAGAAGAAAAAAAGAAAAGAAAAAAGAAGACAAAAATTAAGTTTCTATATCTGAAATAAAATCCAAAGAACAGAATGCTATACCTTAGATAGAAAACAACGGCACGGTGTCCCAAATAAGTGGAGCAAATTCCGGTTATTTTTTCAATTTGTTTCTGTTCTTTAAGATTTGTCCCAAATAAACAGCTGTCCAGATTAACTGATGGCCCAATTAACCGGAATCTACTGTAATTCAATATGTTGGACATTCTACATGGCCCCATGAATAGTAAACTAGTCCACTGCAAAGACTCCTATCTACAGAACATACAAGACCACACACACACCCACTCCAAGAGTAGGATGTAACATGAATGCTAATCTTTGAGGTTCAAGACTATGTGTACCCTTGACTGTGCAGCCATAGTAATTGCCTAGACACGTGAAAAATTAAATATGGCAGCACATTTTGAGCCCATAAACATATACTCATGCCAAGAGCAGTAATTTAACCTGCAACTATAGTGTATAGGAGTCAAACAAGCAAGAAAAAATTTGCTTGGTTGGTGCATATGCAGTAATGAAGTAAAGATATAATAAAAAATGTATAAGCAGGCACCAGTGTCCTCCGTGGCAGATATCATGTTAAACACCTTAGGGAAAACTGAAGGACTGGGTCCAGTTCCTTATCCCGTCCACCTCCCATACTCTACCTCATTCCACATCCCTTTTCTCAGCATTCTATTTTCACATGCACAACAAATTACAGTTTTACCAACTGACATATTACTGAATGACATAGAAAACAAACATCACCCCCATGATTCTAAAAGAATGTGGTGAGAAGTGAAACAAGTATTGTATTTATGCTGCAACATGTTTGCTTAGGCCTATGATCTATGGAATATAAATTCTATCCTATGTGGTGTACGGAGGGATACAGAAGAAAGCATCCAATGATATTTTCTGTTGAGATAAATTATAACACAATCTAACATCAAGTGGCAATGAAATCTGTGATAACATGATGTTTCAAAATTTATATGTCAATGCCACAATTTTATAGCTTGTTTAACATATATTGAAGTTTACGTGTGGCTTTATAGAATATGTACAAACATGGAACACCTAGTATCTATCACAAACAAGCTGAAAAAATCAGCCTCATTTAGGGCATATTTTGCAAGTCACTACAGCCCCATTGAAGCATTTTCTTTTCAATTTGTTTTGTGACTTAACTGTGATATTATAACAATGAAATTCAACTAAATTACCTACCATTTTGATTACGGCCTTCAGAGCACAGTTATGACTTCTTAAATTAATGAAAACAAACTACAAACGACGAAATATTACTAAACGTTAATAGTTCTCCTACCCTCGACGACAAATACAAGAATAATCGATCATAAAACTTATCGACCCTCACCAAGGAGTTACACCTTGCCGTGGTGCGATTGTCGATGGTCTGATGAAATAACCCAGTCGTCCGTAATTGATAGATTGGACAACTGCTACCATCTATAGGTTGTGATTGTAACTGCGTTCTTTTCAGGAAACTAATCGTCGCTTAGCACGTTAGAAATTTCGCTTTCTTATAAAGCTGTCCCACTATACACCAAGTAGGCGCTTGGAGGGAGGGACATATAGCTCCTATCCACTCTTAACCTCGGCACTAGCGTCACGTTCCGGCCGCGCTTCACCCCCGGGAAAGGACCCCTCTAACCATTGGATGAGACTGAGTGGGCCCCAGAGCCGGTCTGGACGCAGAGGCTAAAGGAAAAATCCTCTGTCCCCGTAGGGGATCGAATTGTCACAAAACTGATTGAGCTACCCTTCACTTTCTTATGTGGAACCAAAAGCTTAATTACTGTGTTTGCAACAACTCACCAATGGCTCCTATTCTGGATCAGATAATTCCATCTTATTTCATTCTTAACCTTTTTTGATGTTCTTTGTTTTAGCAAAAGCAAAAAAAAAAAAAAATCCTATATACCCAAAATGAATGTCTGCTAGGTTGTTGCACCGTGTAGTCTGGTAAAAGTTTACTTTCCCAATTTTAGTATTGTCAATGGATTAAAACAATGCAAGTATGGATCGGTGAAAAATAAACAATTTGTATTCATGGTTTAATGAAAATTAGCCATTCTGATAAAAGAATTGCTGATGATACACAAATATACAGAAAAGGTGATAACATTAATCTTTGTTTTTCCTTACCCAGGTATTAAGTACATTTTAATTTACAAATTAACATAAAGACAACATATTTATGATTGGAATGCATGAGTAACTACATGGCAAACTATAAGGATGATGGCGTCACATGATGACATCACTTTTTTGTACAGAATACAATGAGCTCAGCTCAGAATTCAAATAAGTTCAATTATGACACATCTGAAAATTTATCTAACAACAAAAGCAGGTACATTTTCTATTCATATATGCAATATATATAGGTAAAATATGGCAACATGAAAAGCAAGAAATACAATTTCTTAGCCAATTAAAAACATAGTTATATATGAATAAAGCAAAACTATATTCTTAATCCTAACATATTCATATATAGCACTGCATGTTACAACTTTCTGCTACATTCACTGTGACAAGAAACAGAAACAATATTGAAAGAAAGTCTGATTTAAAGTAAATCTTAAATTTAAAATTATTCCATATTGAATGGGTAATAATTTTCTGAATCTGACTAATTAAATGGTAAACAGGAAGGACCAAACTCAGTATCAAGAATCAATTATGGCATCACATGTTGCACAGGTCTACTTTAAAAATATAACTAAAACCGATGCAGAATTAATTTCATCGTAATACATTTTAGGATTTAATTCAGCCATTTTAAGAGGCCTGTAATCATACTCCTATTAACTAGAACTACATAACTACAATCCAAATGTAAATATAACTTAGACTACTGCAATTTGGTTCACTCAGTAACAAATATAATCCATGACATTCATTGCAATTACTAGGATAGTCTTCAATAAATTAAAAATTCAAATGTACTTTGTTAAATAACCCATCTGTTAAACTATAAAATTAGCCTGTAACATTATAATTTATGCATAGATACATGACAAATAAAATCAATTAATTATGTCTGAAATCAAGTATCTCTTCTTGTATTCCAAGCAAAATATCTGAGTCTATGGGCCAAAGCAAACTTCTCTGATGTCATTAGTGATGGTATTACATGGCACAACAACTCAAAAGACAGCCAACTTCAGACTCACCACCATGAAAACCTCAAATTGTACACATATTATATTACTGCTTTCTTTGTTTTGGACTTCATCCATTCTCTGGTGAATGCTTTTTGAGAAGCCTTAAAATTAAAGTCTGAAACAAAGAAAGCAGTCATGGAAAGTTGTTTGAAGCTATAAGTAATTTTAAATGGCATAAGGTGCCATCCCATTACTTCTGCTCTAGACCTGAAATGCCCAGTTTCTATTAAGCACCCATCTGTACTTGAAGCTGACAAACTGATTGCTGTCAAAAACAACCCAAAGTAGACCCACACAGAGACAAAATTCATATACTGCATTCTAAATAGGTAAAAATTTCTGATGGTTAATTTTAGTACTTACAAGAATATAAATGGCTCGGATATTTAAATAATGTAATCCATGCAGTTGGCAATGGATTCCTGAATAATGAAGTTGATAATGAATTAAATTCTTAACCTTAACATTGCATGCATACATCATAAAGTAACACTATTACAAATTAACATCAAAATCAATACACTAAAAATAATACAATTATTCAGCACAAAATATAACTACAAAATGTACAAGTTTAAACCTACAATAGCACATATACTAATCAACAAAATAAAATAAAATTACTTGCAAAAGTTGTAACTACAAAGTCTGTATAATGTAAGATTGAAGGAACACTAAAATAAAACACTCTTTGGCTCTTATTGACAAAAATTTGCTGGACAGTATGGTAACACTTCTTCCTGGATTATTTCTAAGTATGATGCATTTCAGCTTTGTCAAAGAACTTATAAATAATTTGAAAATATGTAGCTATCAGATTTTATTACAACAGATATTGTATAGTTATTTTGACATATTTTAATGGTTCCTTATCGACTAATGTTTTTATGCTTATAAATAACATGCCATATTACTTTAATTTCTGATAACTAGTATATTCCCTGGCACCTGTACTTTGTTTGTGGATAAATTTCTTGAAATCATTAGTTTTTACCCATTATTTCTTCTGATTAACCACCAACTATTTTAGCTACAAAAGACCACTTGTGCAAAAACTATTCCTCCACAGCATCTGAGCATTTGCAAAACTGGAATATTGTCTCTATGAAGAATACTTAAAAAATAGTGTATAAAAAGACACAAATTTTCCAAAATCTCAATTTCATTCTTCAATACAAATGTTTCACATACTGCAAACACATCACCCTTGCTGTTTCTAGGGCATAAGAGAGTGAAAATTCAAAATGTGTGTTTTAGAACAGAGATCATGTATATAGTGTACTGCTGGAGATTACTACCTCTAATCAAGGATAGAACACTGTATGGTAACAATAGCTGGCATATTTATAAGACACTCCACAAGTAAGTTACATACATGTCCAACCAGCCCCTATAAGGTAAGGCATTAATAATTTTTCGTAGTTCTTTCTTCACATGACAATCACCAGCATCAGAATAAAAATGACTGGAAGCATCAGAGATCTTACAATCATAACTTGGAATATTTATGTGACATTATTTGTTTTGATTTCTAATTGGTAATTAGGATTTAAGAAAGAATTCTGATACTTCATTCCATTCAGTGGGTCCTTACAATTCAGTTCATTTTCCCACTTTTCTGAATGGGGTGAAGTTCTGTGGTTTAACCCTTCTTCAAGTTCTTTTGTTGACACACAATTTGGGTCTGAAATGTTTACTTCTTTGTTTTCATTCTGAGATTCATCAGGATTACTCTTCATGTCATTCTTCAATTTTTTCTGCTGTGGCATATTTACATAATTGTCTGCAGATGATGTAATTGGCATTACTGACTGATAGCTTGGATTTGAAAAGCTTGGTAGTATAGAAATGTTATTGTCATTCTGTCCTCTGTCATTCAGTTCATCTTCTTGCTTTTGATTCAGGAACCCTAAACCTGTGAAAAACATGTAGAGCCACTTAATAAATTGAAATAATAAAAACACCTGATTGTCACAATGTTAAATTGCAAAGTCGGTGCCTGGTGCTAGATCTCACATTAGAGGACTGAAAACAAGCTCAAAGACTACTTTGCATGCCTAACTACATAACTAACAAACTTCACATAGCAGGGACTTCCTTGAAAAGTTAACAGTTACTCAGCTGGTCCAGATATATCCTGCTTTCTTGAAAACTAAAAGTTCCTTACCTTGCTCATCCTTCTCAAGATTTGGTGTCTGTAACATGAACACGATAAATAAATGTTGATCTTCTGTGTTTTGGCACTGTGTAGACTCATAGGTAGAAACCAACATTTTGAAGAAAATATTGTTTCCATCTTCTGCCTTGAGTCTACATGGCGCTAAAACCTATCAACATTCTCACTGCCATGAAAACCCCACATGATAGTGAAACTATGTACAGAATTCAACAACACTAACACATCCACTGAAATTGTGGTGAACAATAAGCAGAGTCTGAGCACGTATGTTAGAATGCCTGGAATACAGCAACAAATTTTCTATATTATATAATTTGATGTGTCAACTTTCCTCAGTACATGAGCTCAGAGAGACTGTGTTAATATATTTACAGAATTCTAATCTGTTCTTTATATTTTTGGAACATGCCTGTAACAATACTGGGACACCTGCCAATGAAATTTTAAATTTTTCAATTAATTTTTTATAAAAATGATTTTAGCCCCCAGGAATCCTCCTGGAATCATACTTCACAGATATTGATCCAAGAATTGTAAAAAAGTAATATAAGTGAATATATGTCCCACTTCAGTTGTTTCATCCATCTAATAAAGCATAGCACAGTACTAACATTGATTGCACATAAAGCACTAATATGAAATGGTCTAAAGCTTTAGTGCTCCAAAAATTAGTTATATACTTGTTTTATGAAGCACACACTGGTAAAATGTAATTTAAATTGCTCCCTACAGACAGTACAAACCATACACATAGTAAAACTTTTATGTAGCATCTGCTGTCTTTTGCAGCACAGTTTAAGCACACTAGCATTTTATCAAAATATTTTATTCATCCACATCCAGTTTCTACAGACTCCTTTGAAATTAATGTCCAGTTAAGGGTCCAGGACCAAAATTAATACAAATAGGGAGAGAATAGCAAACCTTTGCCTAAGTCACTGAGGTGATCCAACTCTGCATCAGACTCACTGCTGTTTCTGCTTGTGCTGAGCATTGGCTTTCCTTCCATACCCTGAGCATTTTTAGTCTCAGAGTTATGTTGTCGCCGTTGTTGCTGCAGATGTGGTGAAAAGCTGAAAACATTGTCTTCCTTTCGTCTAGGGCTGAAAATACTTTCAGGTACAGGACTCTTCATGCAAAGGTATCCAGAACATTCTCCACCACCCAGTAATGTTGCTTCTTTGGTATGTGGGCTAAAAATTTAAAAAATACTTCAGTTTCCACTTCTAGAATCATACCATAGTTGTACAGAACCATGCAAGAGATGATTTATATATAATAGAAAAATGATGGTTGGTTGGTGATCACTTCTTTTAAAAATTACTATTCAATTGTTTATCAGAAACTGATTGTTGACAACTGACAAATTCAGAGAGCCTTGATTTTGTATTACAAACTGACACTATACTTAACTGAAAGAGACCAAGAACAAAGAAAGTTACAGACAAATATTTTCACTAAAAATGTGATTTACAAAGAAATTACATAATTGAAATATTTAATCAAAAACACTATTTCCTTTCATTCTGTATGGGATCCATGAATTGTTCATGCATGATCTGCAAAGAACTATCAACTGCAATTTTTAAAATTATGCACACTGTAGAAAATATGTTGTATATGATGATTAATAAAATTAAATTGTTTTTTTTTTATACTCATGTAGTTAAATAACATGTGTCCTGTTTCTCACATTTAAAATGCTGACTGGAAAATGTTCATGTTTCCTCACCTGTTAACATACTCATGGTCACCATCATCAAATGTTGGAGACACCATGTTGCCATATGATGGGGAATTCATCATGCTGAGATAATCATTCTGAATGCCCTGCATCCATTGAGCATTCATATCCATATATGGGTCATTAAGATCAATATAATGCTAAAATCAGAAAGAGTATCATATTTAGATATGATCATAATATAATATATCTATCACAAATCTAATTAGTAATAGAGCCTGAAGTTTCAATACTATTAATACCTAAGCCCATCACTGGACATAATATTCGGCAAATTCTATCTATCTCTCACCCTAGTAAAATTAAGAAGAAAATTATGAGTTTCAAAGGTTATGAAAAATATTTTTACATGCAGGGATCTCCAAATGCTGATAAAAGGATGAATGACAGTCAATGCGCAGCAAAATGGAATTTATTTTCACTACCAGTGAAACATTCTACCAGTAACAAACAAAACCAGTAAAGTATTTTCATTATTAAAACTACTTTACTGTTTTTAATGGTCAACACCCAATTTTGACTATCAACCATAGGCTTTCAGATTAACTACAGCATTTTCATAAGTAGTGATAAACACAGAAAAGACAGGAGATAAGCACTAACAAGAATTATTAGTAACTACTATAGACATTCTGTGAATCAACAGTCATGAAAAAGACACCTGCATTCTGCCAGTCACCGTTTTAGAGAGCCTTCTGCCCTCAACCTATCATCTCATAACAGATTAATTTCACAGCATTAACTTTCTACCAGTATTCTTACAATCTTCACATATCCTTTACTTTTATAGAACTTCTTCTTCTTTCAAAATACATTACGTTCTGTACAGAGTATCAATCCAAATAAACAGCAATCACTTGCATCTGTCATTAAGACAAATATATGTGAAAAAGAAATCAAAAATCAAAATGATATTCATGAATAAGCTAATAGCCATTTCAATTGCAAATGACATCAGAAAGACAGCCGATTAATAATCTTAAGAACATATGAGTCCTTATTACCAAGAAATTTAAATCATCACTGCAACTGAAGTTGAAATACCTTACCCTTTTTACACTCTCTTCCAGCATATTTCCCAGTTCCTCTGCAAGGTCACCAAAACTTGGCCTTTGGCTTGGACGAGTCTGCCAACACTTCATCATTATATCATAACTGGAAGCACATTAACAACAAACACTAAAGATTATTATTTTTTAAATTAAGACATACGTACGTTTGAAACAGTGACAGTTCAATAAAAATATATTTGACCATCCCACCACTGCTCTTTACAAGACTTGCTGAATGAATGATGATGATGATTCTAACTGTGACCATTTCTGTATTAAGCACAAGCATTACATTCAATCACTATTTCCAAATAGTCTACTCACATTTCTTTTGGGGCATACTGAGGTTGTTCCATTCTGTAGCCATCCACCAATTTATTATACAATTTCTCATCTGCTTCCATGCCTACAAACGAAGTTAATTAATTAATTAATTAGAGTACTTAAGGAAGATGCTAATAAATAACAACAAATATGCATATATTCAAGTACATTTACATAAACTAGACAGTGAACTACTCATTAAACATAAATTTTTCCAACAAGTATCCCATTACCTACATTCTGCATTAATATCACAGTTCACAGATTAATTGCATTAACTTATAAATTCAAAGTTAAATGCCCTTAAAGTTGAACACGGCCTTCTGAAAGTACTTAACACAATTGTATTTTTCATGCTAAATATATTGCTCTAAGAAATAAAATTATTAAATAAAGCTGAAGTGAATTATTTGGTATCTCATAACATTTGATAAATTGTTTATAAATGCCAACAACATTAATACTTGTAATGTGTGGAAATAAGAACACAAATGAGTGACCACTGACTGCAAAATAAAATCAACACAGTAATGATTTGCAGTAATAATTTGGAGCAATGATCTTATGTGTGAATAGACTTTGTAGTAATAATTTGCAGGATGTAATGGCACAGACAGGAATAAAAGGACAGTGGATGGACAGAGAAGAATGGTGAATAAGATGTAATGAGATTAAGAGACAAATACACACATACAGAAATGATTTGCTCTATGCCACACTCTGTGATATTGAAAAAACAGTGTAATTTTGGGTTTGTCTTTGATCTGGGACAAATAAAACATTATATTTAGGAATTAATTACCTGGGTATGGTGTTCTTGCAAGTGAAAAGAATTCCCAAAGTACAATGCCATATGACCACACATCTGACTGAGTTGAGAAAATACGGTCCCTGATGGATTCTACTGCCATCCATTTCACCGGAAGTGGACCCTGCATGCAAGATTAATGGAATGTAGATTTCACAACTTAACATTACATTGTTTACGTTTAAATGCAGAAAAATTTGCATAGTTTAATTAAATTGTTATCTAATAATGTATTCCACCATCTTCTACAACTTGAAATGTGCATATATTGAATATTTGTACAATATTACTATAAACATGGAGGTACTGTAATGATAAAAAAATTGTCTGTTATCAACACAAAAGTGGACTTTCACTTACATCTCCTTTTTTGCGATAATTATCTGATTTGTACATACTCTTGGCCAAGCCAAAGTCACAGATTTTCACAACGTTGTCATCAGCCAGGAGAATATTTCTTGCTGCTAGGTCTCCATGCATAACCTTCAATTGAAAAAAAAATACATTTTGATCTTTCAAACATTGAAGATTTTTAAGGATTACAATAGTTTAAGACAAATAATGTGGATTATCTGCAATAATTCACAACACAATAATGTTTCATACACATTTTGAGTACTGAAATCCCCTATTCTTCATATGCACACAGTCTCACTTACACAACTAGAACGTTTACAAAAAATTTGAGTTGTATATACCACAGCAGACAAACAATTCGTTTGTGCCTGTCCTTAAATTATTTCATGAATGAAACCCTCTATGTAGTTAATACTCAAGATAATCAGGTTGATTATTAATATGAGATGGAAGTGATTGAGGGTAAAATGAATGTGGTGTATTTTAAGTGCATATTCACAAGAAAGGGCTGACAAAAATTATATAAATCTGTTAAGATAATTTTTTTAAATAATAACAAGTAATTTACATAAATGTGACATGTGAAAAATAAAACTATAAACTATATCATATAATAGACTGGTCTATAATGTTACTGTACTGCACTGCAATGAAACTTTCCTTTCTACATCCCTGATGCTGTGGTCCAAGTCACATTTAAATGTTCCTATCAAACATGTTTTAAATTTAGGCCTGAATATTATATACAGAAATATAAAATATTATTTTTGGTTATGTTTATTTATTGGTAGAATACTGCTACAACTGGTGGCCTAACAAGTGTGTCACTGTGTACACTGTTACAAAACCACTTTAACATAACACTTATTTTCTTGAAACAGACATGATATGAAGGCATTCTTACCTTCCTGGAGGCCAGATAGTCCATGCCCCTTGCTACTTGAAATGCCCAACACAGTAGATCACGAGTGCAAACAGGACTAGTGGTGCCTTTATAGTCACCTTTGTAATTTGATCTCCATTCTGGTTGGATGCTGTTGTTACTTAGCATGTATTCATCCTGCTCACCTTTGGTGAAACAAAAAATGTAGGAAATTATATTGCTAACCACCCAATTTTAAGTTACACTTCTTACACTGAATTCTATTATATCCAAGGACTCAAAATGTTTGATTAATCACTTCCTATAACAGATATAAAACATAAAAAGGAGATGCTGTTATGATAACACCATTAGGCATTGAAATGAGCTGCCAGTATAGTGGCATGGTGCTGGACTTCAGTGCCAGAGGCTTAAATTTCATACCAGCTGGATCCAATGTACTCTTCATGTCTAACAAAGTAAAAAATTTGTGAATTTGAGATATAAGAGGCCCACACCTTGGTTCAAAGACCATATTAAGCTGTACATCATCTCTGCCTGTATCATAATTTAGTCATCACAGGATAGAGGAGCCCACTTCAGAAATGGATGCCTTCATCATATTAACTTTCAGAACTTTGAAATTCCTTCTACTGTTTCTAAAAATAAGTACTCTTATACATTTTTCCCAATATTTTGGAAATAATGGTAAGTTTTATCACTGTAAAAATGTTACATCTATTGTGAAGATGATAAAAATATAATTTTAAAACATACCTGAAGGAGTCATGGAGATCAGATTCATTTCGATATCAGTCCCTGTTGGACCTAAAGATCGAACACTTGGACAGACACAGGCAGCTCGGTAATCCACAGCACTTTCACCAGAGTGACTTCCATCCCCACTGCTGCTGGAGAAGGATATTGCTGCATATTTTACCCTACAAATATGCCAGTTAGTGTGTCAGGAAAATGTAAACTGAAGTGTGTTAATAAAGCTAGAGAAGTAGAACCAGTCACCAACAAGTCATCAGACTATTATCCATTCTGATATGAACACAGTTATAATTATTTTTCTTAAGTATCTATAATACAGTACTCCAGCAAACTATCCTATTCCAGAGTATTACAGAAGGCCAAAATATGCTTCACTTTGTTGCCTTTTTTAATACATTTTTGAGTGCAAAGAGTATGATGAAGTCAGTGATAAGATGATAAAGTGACATGTAGCAATCCTGTTCAATGTGAAATGTCAGGATATTAGTATTTTTTGTGTTAATAAGAATATTTAAATTGCTTGTGAAGAATGACTTACTGTATACTACTGTGATATAACATGCAGACTCTATATGCTTTGGGAACCAAACCTAAATCAGTGGCAATCATCACTACAGCAATATTAAATGATACTGAAACATTCTGAATTCATTCGTGATCATAAGTGAATGACGAATCTCACGCCACCAGAATGTTTACAGAAATAAAGAAGAATTCATCATTATTCACAAAGGAAATCAGTTAATAAATCATATTACCTTCAGGTTCCAAACAATTTCACCAGTGACAAGATGTTCACAGTGTTTTCTCATACAACTTACAATGCATCAGTTTACACTTTAGACCATTAAAAGACAAAAAAAAGTTCTACATCCAATATTTAATGAGACAGAACAGTACGTGCAGCAGTCTGTTTGCACTAAACTTTGCTCATACATGCAGATATAAGTAAGACATCCCCTTACTTGGATTTGCTTTTAATCGATTCATTTCTTGAAAGAAGATCCACTCCTATTGCTGGATCTATATGCCCAGTTTTAGGGTCTATTTGATCAACAAAATCCTCACGATGGCGTAGCAGATAATTATGTAAGTTACCAAAGCGGCAGTATTCAACAATGACTAACAGTTCCACTGAAACAATCAATATATATATATATATACAATAGTCAACATCTCAGATTAATGTATGCAGTATGTTCCTCTAAAATGCTAGCATACAACCACAAGGCTATACATTGTAAAAATCTAGAAGACCACAATCTAATCTCAAATTAAGTACTGCATAATGTTTTTCTTATTTGTATCTGTAACAACACTGGATTAATACTGAGACTGTTTATTCTCATTTTTTAACTAACTGGATTCCGTCTTCCACAAGTGGTGGTTCATGGGATATGTTAGTTATGGAGTTTCATTATAAACAATATTAATGAAAAATTAGTTTACTATAAAAGTTTCACCAGATTGTGGAGTATCATAAGCAGGAAAAATTAGTTACTTATTAGCATATGAGAAAAGTAAAATTCTTGTGATAAAGTTACAAAAAGGTACACAAAAATAGTTTTAATTTTACTCACTCTTGGCCAAATTTTTGGTACTGGCCCCCAGTAAGTTGACCACATTCAGATGTTTACCAAGATGGACCATGATCTTGAGCTCTGATACAAGTGCTTTGATGTATGTGTGATCTGTATTTCTTTTGACCATCTTGACAGCAACCACTGTTTTCATTTCTCCTTCTATTATTCCCCAGGCTTCAGCTTTCAATACAACACCAAATGCTCCAGCACCTAACTGCTTGCCTGATGAACAACATATATAACCCAGGGTTAGTCTCTGTTCTCAAGACATCATTCTCTTTTATCAAGTCATGGTTTAAAGCAGCAGTTGTCAAGCTAAACTTTACCATCATTACAGTTATTAATGAACACTTTGTTGAGACAACATTCAGTTTCAAGCAGTGTGTGTGTGTTTACATATATATATATATATATATATATATATATATATATATTTTGGTATGGCAAAACATATAAAGAGCTTTAATAATTAAGATGAAAGTTAAATTTGTCCCTGGTGCTTATTTAAGTAAGCGTCACACCATGCAGATGTATAGGGACTGTCAATATGGCTTCCAAATTCTTGTCCTCTGCACCAGATGGAGGTAAATGGTTAGCTTCACACACCTGGTACTCCTTGGATAGGAGTCAGGTCCATATCTGATATGGACTTTAAGATGAAGAGAAAAACCCTGTTGTAAACCGAACACCAATCATTTAGTCTGTAGCCTAGTTACTAACTATACTGGTTGAGGTATTCCAATTTTGCTTTAGAAAAGTAATTAGGTACCAAGTCTATTTTGCATATACAGAAACAGTAATTCCAAGACTGCAACAGAACATTAGTGTTACAAATGAAAATAGCTGGTTGCCCATTTGTGAATTATGGCTAAATAGTGAATAGAAAACACTATTTAAAAATTAATTAAATTGAAAACATTTGATAATATATTAGTTTTACAATGTACAACTTACTAACAGTGAATGACAGTCCAACTGTTATGTGAAAGTAAGTTTCAAAATAAAATTATTTTAAGTCATATTTCGTGTTATCTGAAACTGACATATGATTTCAAAGAAACCCATTCATTTAGTACTCTAATTGTTCATGAGAGGAAGAGAGCTCCCTGTACTTACTGAACAATACTACATAGCACACATACTGGAATGAATATGAACACGCACACAAATTTTCTCTCTTAGTTCCTGGTAAATCCTTAACACTGGTGTAAAATACAGGCACTCACCTAACTTCAGTTTATCCCTAGGAAACTCCCACTTCTTGTCATATGGTAGTAATTCAGCTTGATCATCCACAGGCAATTCCGGATTTATATTCTCCAAAGCACCTTTCTCAAAGTTAGCTAGTCCTACTATGTCCAACTCCTTGCGTAACTTCTATAATGAAGAAATGTAAAACTGTATTAAAACAAAAAAACTGCCAGGAAGTAGTATAATTACAACACAGTTACATTAAAGCAAAAGCAACTAAAGAAAGAATAAGCTTTAAAGTTTTAGATGGCATCATCTGGTTCCCTGTATTCAGTGTTCCTTATTCTCTGAGACAGAATACAAACGATTATATATCCATGTTTAAAATGTAAAAACATAACATTAACTATATGCAAATTGTATCAGAGTAATCTTTGTCAACCAAGCAGTCTCATATTCATGGGTAAAGGCCATAACTATGAAGTACAATCTACACTGAATACCTTTTAACTAATGGCACTGTCAGTTATTTTTACATTAATGATTATCAGAGATAACTAAATTAAATAATAAATCAACAATGAAACATGATATATATAAGTAGAGACTAATCAATTTTGTTACATAATTGTGTGGAAAATGTGCCAATTGGAAATAAGAGGATTTGAAGTTGAATAAGCAGATAGCTGATGAATATAAACTTGAAGAGTGGTGTGTGGTTGTAGAAAATAATAAGAGTATAAATCAGTGTATAAAAGATGTTTGACAAGGAAACTAAAGCAAGACTTTGCTACATACCCTTTCTCTGTACACCTTAAAACAGAGACAAACTGCCAGCACTGCTACTACTGCAGCAAATCCTATTATGCAATGTATCAGAATATTGACTTCAGGTTTATCTGAAACATCATAATATACCTGATAAAATTCAAATTTGTATACAGTTGTGTACATAAATAATGGACCATATTTAAAACCACAGAATTTAACATAAAATGCCAAGACCCTTGGAACAATTTCATAATTCAACTTAAAAAAGCACTGACATGTATAAAAATTCAACATGTAAAAGAAAAAAAATATGTGCGTGTCCCTGATGAATTTTATGGAAATATCAGTATGTTGGTAAGACATCAAAATGTGGAAATTTCTATTTTTATTTTGTCTCCTATTTAACTGTCTTTCATTTCAATAATTTAAAGGATTTGAAAATAATGGAAATCCATGAATTATATGAATTCATCAAAGAGATACAAACAAATCAGACTATATTTGGTATGTTACCTTTAAACTGAAGTGTTATAAATTTGCTGAGTTCTTCAAGGCGATTTGAAACCACACATGTATACATTCCTTCATCTTCCAGTTTAGCAAACTGAATATATAACGTTTCGTTTCTATCTCTCAATTCTATACGCGGGTCACTTCCAATAAGAATTCCATCCTACAGGAAGAATTCAAGAAACTTATTTTATACAGGTAAATCTGGCACAAAAAATATGACAAAGTTCTGGGATAAATAAGCTCTATAATGCCATATGGATGGTTTGCACCTTTTAACAAGGGCAAAACTTTGCAGCAAGATGTTGTACATTCCAGATGTCCAACAATATCACACAATGAGGAGTCAGTGCTTCATACTAACAAAAATTTATTTAAAACAAAATAATCATGAGATGAACTTTTAAAACTATTTTTTTGAAAAATCAGTTTTGACTATACCTATACAACTGTGTGGACTTCTAGGTAGATACCAACCTTCTTGGAGGAACATACTGCCCCCATCTTCAGGGCTAAAATTAGGCTGTTAGGAAGTGGCTGATTTAAATAAGGTTAGAAAAAAGATCAGGCCAGGGAGAATGGCCAACAAGCACCAAGGGATGAGGACAGACTATAGAGACAGTCCAGGTAAATATATATTAACATTTTATGTACAGAGATACCGAGTAATTTATTTATGATTGAAGCAATTCTAAGCTTTAAGTGAATGAATGGAAATAATATCCACAGAGCAGCATTAATAGAGAAATTCAACCAGGCAATTTCAAAAAGTGCAGAGTGCTCACTGATAAACTGGAACACAACTATCACAAGGACATCATTTTCGGCACCACTTATAATAAAAGATCATTTCATTTTCATGGAGTGATACTTGACTCATATTGGGAAAATCTTGTGTCATTTGGCAGTGAGTCACACAATTCTGCTGGGAGCTAGAAAGTAACAGTTATGTACTGGTTTATCAGTGAACACACTGTAGTAGACAACAAAAATACAGAACTTCATTATTTACAGACCTTGTACCACTTCACTGTTGGGACTGGCAGTCCATTTGCTATGCATTTCAATTCTAGACTGCTTCCACTTTCCATCAACAATTCAGAAGAATTCATGTTCGATATTATGCTTATAGGTACTGGATCTGTAATATGATTAGCATGTTAGATCACACTGTTTTTGTACAGAAAATATAGGCTAACTATACATAAGTATAATATAATGAACAATGTTACAGAGTTTTTTTGCACAAAGCGGTGTATATAGAAGGGGCTGCATTCATCTCTCTGTCTGCATATTACAGTGCCAAAACTAATGAATGAATTTTCATTAAATCTGGTAATGATGCTTTGCATTATAACTCACCAAATTAATTTACTTTTCACTCATAAAGATCCAATATAAGCCAAATTTACATGAAGCTCAAATTAAACTATATGGATTTTATCACAAACAGATCATACAAAATTTTAACATGACACTACTAAGTCTAAAGCCTACCATTAAGACTACACCAGTACAACATATTTCTTTCTTCTAATATTGATGTCTTCCTCTTTCTCAGTCTGCCAAGCAGCTGCCACTTATCCAGTATTTAAATTAACTCTCTGGTAGTAAAATCCATCTGACCTCTTGTTCAGTAACTTCTTTCTATTAGGGTGACTAAATTATCAAATGTTTTATCTACAACTCAATAACAATATTTATATTTCAGTAAGCAACACTACAATTTACATTTTACTCAAATGACATGTTTCGAATACTCAGTCATCTTAAGGCCCCTTCAGAATTTTCACTTATCTCAATCAATCTAAAGCATCATTCACTGATGCATTTTGAACTTTTTGGCTACAATAAGCTGTCTTATCCCACCGCCATTCTATCACTTATATCTCCTGAATACTAATGTCAGCTTACTTTTCAAACCACTTTTTTTTAACTGTGTGGCAAAATGTCAATTGATTTTGGATCATCCATACTTAGGAGCACAACCTGAGTGACACTGGTGAACATTTGTACAGCAGCAATATTTCAAAACATTAATAGCAGATATCTGCACAACAAAAGATCTCTTCCTCATGCGGTTTGAATTTAAGGGATTCCAACTCTAGTGTATTAACATGAAACTGAAATCTAAACTTTAACATCTTTCATTCAGGGGCAGGCCACAAATGGTTTCACCACTGCTTCCTAATAAGCTTGCCATCTAATCACACTTTAATCCAGATCAATGCAGGTTATTTAAGTGACAATCGTTATTAACATCAGTCTTCCTCAATAACATCTCCAAAAAAAGGTCTCTGCAGTAAAATCTTGTATTTATTTCTCATGTAACCCATGTGGTGTACCCAACTCCATCTTACTACAACCTTCTTCATTTAATAACTGTTAATTCATGAGCTGACATGCAGAGGCATAATATTTTAAAATACGACAAATTACAAAAGTCTACTAATATGGGATATCTTTTACATTTGCTATGTGCACAATGATGTCTACCAGAATATTGAAAATGGGACTTCCATGTTAAATTAAACATGTGACTGTGATGTTCCATGCAAATACATCCAGGAATGTGATTTTACAACATTCTACTTGCCATAAACACGAATATATTCCATAAGTGAATCCTTAATATCATCTTTCCTAGCTGCATAACATATATAGTTTGCATCACTCTTCGCAGGAATATCTTTCCAGGTCATGCTTACCCTGTATGAATATTCAGTATTATTCCTGGTCACAGAACATCCTGAAACAATTACAAATTTGTAAATGGGAATACTACTTTAGGGTAATGTATTCCATGATGATGACTGGGTAATGTCCACCTTGTATATTTTTGACTTTCAGGGACAAGCCAAGTCAACTGTTGAAGGTATTACAAAGTTTTGGTAAACAATGCAGAGTTGCCATCTTCAGGGTAAATATCTGTATAATAGTAGAGAAACCCTTGTAAACATCTGGCAGTGGGCAGTCAGAAGTGAGTGATGAGAATGAACGAGAAGAAGAACAGGCTGCTACCCATATCCTTATAAGAGCTCCTTTACCCTCCTACAGACATTTGCCCTGAAAATGGGAATTGCAATGTTTTCAGAAATGTTGCATTTTAAATACCACGATAAACAAGTCCCTGCAGAAAATATGATGACAATCTTCTGGACTTTCAGGATTTCATCTACAACTTTCTTGAACATGGGTCCACAGTCACCGGTCAATTTTACACCAACGAAAACAACTCTTTCTCACAGTACCCATCACTAACTGACAACATTTACATGGCAATGAAAAACATGCATACCGGTATTAAGACAGCTGCTTTGTATAGAAAACTTGTGCATACATCCTACAAAGTATATTTTAAGAATATCATTACAGATCACATTTGAACAAAGCCTTTCCTACTTATATTTCAGTGCCTCAGTATCCCTTCTTTCACTCCCTCAACACTTAATTTTGTCTGAAATATGTTGGCAAATCAAAGATTATGCAAATACTATTCCACTTATTTTTCTCATGCCCTCAAGCACTGCCCTCTCAAAAGGGTTTACAGATTTTTAACTCTTATAATAAATTACCTGAATTGTTCCGAACTGGCTGTTCACTAGCATAACCATCTCTTTCCTCATACCATACAATGGGTTCAGTAAAATTATATTTACTTGCCCCACAGTGGAGGGTGAAATTATCTCCAACAACTACTTTTTCAGGTTTACCCCATATGCTGAAAACTTTTTCATCAGGGATATCTGCAAGTAAAATGCGATGAAAAAATTAATACCATCATTACAAAGTTACGACAAAGATAAACACATCAAAGATCCTGGAATAGGAAGCTGGCTACATAGAATACATCTATGTGTATTAATATGTGACTACTGTGTGTTTCACTAACTTGTCTGCATTGTTGGGTTTCTGGACTCTGTCATAAAATCACACAACATTTTGAGGGCTGAATTCATACGCCTTCTTAAAATCTTTATTGTTAATCTTATCATTATCTCCCACTGACATAACCTGATCTTGGATGCTTATACACTTGTTGTTCTGACTTAGGTTGTCCAGTGATTGAGATTAGCTTATTCTAATTAACCCCACAGAGTAGGTGCCCTTCCCCTTCATCACACCTGAAGACAGGGATAGATCCAGTTCATTGAAACATTGTGTAATTTTATAATATAAGATGATAGACAAAACCCAAAAGAAGAATATTTCACATTACTGAGATTTTTGTAAAAAGATACAACTTACCTGTCACAAATAAACTCAGAGTTTCACTGCTGTTACCTTCTGAGTTATTTGCAAAGCATTTGATGAGACCTGGCCTGTCAACTGCCCACTCCAATGTATCACTGTAAGTATGGTCACTTATCTCGGGGTTGGGAGTCACCTGAAAATGTATGAATAATGAAATAAGAGACTGGTGTCAAATATCAGATGAAGAATGCAAGACATAACAGTATTCTTGATTTTATGTTTATTGTGTATAACAGTTAAAAAATTTAAAAATCTGTAGTGCATGTCATACCTGAATTTCTTTGAATGTCAATTCTTCACAGTCATTTATTAAGTCGCATTCACTGAAAAACCACTTAACTTCTGGCTGTGGAAAACCAACAATTTTACACTTCAACTTGTAGGTCATACCCAACTGATACAGGTATGACTGACTATTCTCCAACGAAACAGCAGGCTTATCTGAAATAAACATAAGCCAGCTTCTACAGGCATTTACAATATTTAGGCCTGACTGGAAGTTCATCAAACTCGCCTTGCAGCATTGCCATTTACACAAGTCAAGTATATGCAGCCATATGTTTTAATATAATCATACCTTGAAATGTAATGATTTTAGACAGATCTTTTCAAGTGCTGTCTAAACTGGACTTCATTGGCATCTAATGAAAACCATGCAACAAATGTCCAAAAACATTGCAAAGACAAAACATACCTCATAGTTTTCAATCATATGCATTTAACATGGGAACAGTTACATTAAAGCTTGTAATCTAGCACAAAAAGAAAATGGTTTGTAATAATGTATCTGTTCCATAGCATAAGCCAAAGCAGCTTAATCAGTACAGTGATTGGCTATTGGCTGGACAATTTAAGTCCGATTTCCAGGAATTTGAGATTTCAGGTGGTTATGGTGGTGAGTATGAAGATGACTGTCTTCTGCGTTGCTGTGCCTTGTAGCCACACATAAATTGACTGACATAAAATTCTATGAGACTACATGGTGCAGGAATTTGTATGAAATTAGAAAGTACAAGTATTGGGTGGCCTCCAAGGGCATAACATTCATCCAAGTGTTTTTTAAAACCAGTCCTTTGACTCAAAAGTTGGAAAGGGGGATACACACAGGCACAAAAATAAACACACAGACAGCATGCAGATCTTCTAAGCCTAAGTTTTCCTTGAAGAATGAAAATCAAGCTAAGAATATAATTTTATACTCACCTGTAACAATGAGTGTAAGATTCAACATCTTTTCTACTTTGTCATTATAAACTCGGAATTCGTAAGTTCCTGCATCATAAATTTGTATCTTCTTTATTATTAATGTGATCTGTGTCCTTCCTTTACGTTCCTCAATTTTGTACTTTACACTATTTTGAGGCTTAATTTCTTCATGTGATTTGTCAAACCATATGTAACTAGGCATCGGTGATGCATCCACATTTACAACCCATTGAACATGTTCCGTGCCAGCTTTAACTCTGACAGTCAGTGCATCAATTGACAAATTAATGTAACTCTGACCAGCCTCTGAAAAATGTAAAGTTGTATACATAAATAAACATTTTTCTTAAAACTGTATATATAAATTTAATATATTAAATGTTTTACAGTTAGAAAATAATTGCATCAGCCAATATTCATACAACTGCGAGAACTTTGGCATCAAAGCAATATTCTGTACCAGAACATGTGAATTCTGACAACACAAAAATATCACTGTGTGAGATACAAGGTTGTAAGGGTGGTTAAAATGTCATTGTTGGTGTTGTAGGACTTCGGTCTTAAAGATAACAATATGTTCCTTGAAAATGTTGGTTATCAACCTACAATTCAACAGTGTTACAACCTAGAAGACCAATGTCAACAAAAATATTGCTGTTACAGTACTCTGTATACTTTCCTGCATTGTGTAACTATTCTATAAATAAGTGTGTGGGAGTTAAATCAGTATAATAAAACATAGCAGGTATTAAATACCCATATTTGGACAGTACCTCATATTAACTTTCAGAATCTCTCATAGGGCTGTATTATATCTAACGTTTTGTGAAAACAGAAATATTACTGAAAAAAATAAAGTAATTACTTACCATGAATTTTTATAAATCTTGTTTCCTTATTAGTCACCATATTATGGTCAGTCACCTGGCATGTATAATTTCCTCTATCATGGAGTGTCACATTCTCAATTGTAAGAGAATATACTGAACAGTGATAGGTTGCATCTTGTCCACAGTCGTAGGAAACAGATCCATTGTAAACTGCACGTTCACTCTAAAATGAACAAAAACACAAATAAAGTATAGGAAAATTAACAAATCTATAATATTAATAAGTTTTATATAGTTGTGTAACCTAACCCCCTTTCCTGCAATTGAGTTCAGAAAAAAAATATTTTAACCTAAGCAGGATGGAGTGTGAAATGTTGAAGATTACATAAAAATAAATGTCATGACTTACACAGATGAGAAAGTATTATTTTGGATGTAAAATTTAAGAGGTTACAATGGGCTGCACATGTAAGTCATATGGAGGGTATATTGCATGGAAAGTGGTCAAGTGGGAAAATTCTGGGAGGAGGTGGATGGCAACCATGCAAATGGATCTTAGAGAAATAGGTTGTAAGGGTGTGAGGTGGATAAAATTGGCTCAGAATTGTGTTCAATGGTGGGTTTTAGTATTAGAGGTGACAAACATCAAATTAGTTAATTAGTTAATACATGCATACAGAAACATTTCTACTGAAGATGCATCTGCAGAGTAATGATATTTCCTATCAGACAAATAACATCTAATGTCACTGTTATGTGCATTGTATGTGAATGAATGAGATATTCTAGTGTGAAATCAATCATTACAGGTTTAGGACTGAGTTTACAGATTTGTTAGATGAAATTTTATATGAGAGAGAAAAGTACCATACAAAACTAAAATCAATTAACTAACCTTTACAGTTTCTGGTAGATGCCACTGAATGGTGAATTTAATGCCGTGAGTTGCTCGAGCTACACATTCAAGGTAAAGTTTTCCACCAACAACAACAGGGTTCAAGTATGTCTCATTAATTGAAGGCTTTGGGATAAAGCTAGAACCTTCTGCAATAGAGAAGAAATTCATTTGTGAGCTCAGCTGTTATTATTTGCCTTACTGATTATGGGGAAGAGAAACTGAATAGCAGTAATGAGATGAGGGCAATTAAAATAAAATATTATAAGAATCTCATGTACTAAAGGGACAAAAACTATGAACATAAAACTAAACAGAAATAACATTCAGGACAAAATACTTTTCAAAAAATCTTAACTCGTAATTCCCATACAATACTTGAATATAATTAAAAAACATGGTTAAGTATGACTTCATCAGTGTATCCCCACACTATGATAGGAAGTAGATCTGAGGGCTAGCACAAAGTAATCACAATTATTGATGTCAATCAATAGTAATAATATGGTACAGTTTCACTACAAGAACTTTTATATTAATATAAATAATTCTTCCTTTGTAAGATTTGAGGTTTTCACAGTGGTGAGTATGAAGGTTTCTGTCTTCTGGGTTGTTGCACTGTGTAGTCTGGTCGATGTTAACCATACTGCCTCCGTCATCAGGGATATTCATCACACTGATGACGGAGGCAGTATGACCTCTGAAACATTGGTTAACATTGACCAGACTACACAGCGCAACAACCCAGAAGACAGAAATCTTCAATTCTTCCTTTGTTTAATTTAAAATTCAATGCAAAGAGTAAGAATGAATAAGAAGAGGCAAGTACTGTCTTATGGGAGACCTTAAAAGGTGTACTTTATTTACATACAATGTCTGTCTGCTCTCTAAGCATATGCAGTACAAGCAGTCTGATAAGTTTTGATGGGATAAATCTAATAGGTATTGTTACTACACTAATGATTTTTTCAAAAGCTGCAGAGAATAGTTCTTTATCACCATATATTTTGCACAGACTGTTTAGGCCACATTCTTCTGCATATCTGAACCACCAAACAAATACACACACCCACCAACCAACTCATCCAATATTTTACACAGATATTTGTAAAAAACAATAATGCACTGTTTCATTCCACGTCCAAATTTAAATGCACAGCAACAGTCAACTAAGCATAAGGCTACAATATATGAGTAAGTAACTATTAACAAAAATCCCTCCCCACTTATATCCTTATATTTAAATACTATTCTGATACTTGTTCCAGTACCACTAGATGGAATTCACATCACAGACCCGCACAGCTTCATACTGTAACAACACTAAACAAGAGTACTTCCCATGGATTTATTTTCAATGGATACATGACTGGCCTGTAACAATTTGCCATGAGGTTTAACACAGAATCTGGATCAAAACCCATACACATTTTACTGCCTACTTTAATTTCATTCTCTAATTATGTTTACTTTTATTGATTTTATCCGAATTGAGCTAAGCCTATATTTTTACTGTTTTAATGACTGCCTACAAATTATAAGTATGGATCAACACCTTTACAATCAAAATACTGCATTTAATGTTAGATTTGACATTTTAGTATAGTTTCATTACACAGTAAAACATCAAAACAAACAGCGTTTGTGGTTTTATCACATGTGATATAAATACTGAGTTTGTCATGTGTGATACACTACACAAGTCGGGTTGATGATTGTACTGTTCGTACTTAATATGCCACATAAATATTTTATGTTATAGACAGCTACTACATTTTTAAAGTTATATGCAATGCCTAAAGTCTCTGAATAGGTTTATTCTGAAGACTCTAGAAGTCTGTCTGCTTACATGTAAGTATGAACAGTTGTATACATATATGCACACAAAACTCCAAATGTACAGATCATTCTTAATACTCACATGTATTAATGCATTCATGTCATAACTTCAGGCGTGATCAGGTAAGAAATAGAGCACTTTTCAGATTATTTCATTTATAAACATATCAGACCTACAACTCATATTATTATAGGCTTATATTAAAATTAATTTAAGAACAAGATGCACATTTCACAGATACAGCAATGTTTTACAAACCATTCAGTTAAAAATTATGGCTAAAGTTAGATAAGTTGTATTAATCCATTCACCATTACCACAGATGGGTAGTATTAGAGAAAAAGGAACCCAAGCAATTATATTACAATAGACCTGCCAGCAAGTACTAGATCAAAGCATCCAACTTGTGAACCCCAAAAGAAAGAGAAAGATGCATCTTGTAAATTTAGAGAAAAAAGGGGCTATCTCCATTAATGCTCTTTTTCTTGGATAAATAAATAAAATTAATTTAAAGTGCTGTTCTTTAAAATGTCTATACATGTCTGTTAAAGTAATAAAAATAAATTAATAACACACACAATACCAAACATTTAAAACATCTTTATCCTGCTTGAAACAATGATATAAAACACCATCCCTTTCTTGTACCAAAGTCTTCAATTGGCAACTGTTTAAGAATCATGATTATTATACCAAACATCTCATTTATGAACAAGTTAAATGCTGGTGTACAGAATATTAAAGTGAGTTATTATTTTGTATTTCCTAATTTGTGAACAAAAATGCTATAAGAAACTTTAAATAAAATGTATTTGCCATTAATGAATGATACACATGAATGGATATTCAAAGAAGTAGGCTCTGTAGCAAAATGGTCCAATTTAAGATGAATTATTTTTTAGCCAGGATATTATAAAAGCAAAAAAAATCTGCTCCTGTATCAAAAGAAGCAGAAACTTCACATCAGAAGCATAAAAATACAGTATATAAATAAGCATCTTCAAGTCAGTAAACTCATATAATATGTTATCAGATTTAACCAACTGACGGTGATGTAGTCACAATGTTATCACATTATGTAGTATTTAGATTTAACAATGAAGAGATCAGTGTATTGCCATAACATATGTTGGAACATGTGTGCTAATTTAATTTTGAAATGTTTTCTTTTCCTTTGTCTTCTGAATTGCCTCTGGTATGTTATATTTTGCTGGAAAGTCTTATGAATATTTCAACCACCCCAGAGCCAGCTGCACAAAACAGATGATCCAAGCCACCAAGTTACTGCTGAGCAGAAAATTTACACTCTTGACGAGTCTTAGACTTACGATTTACGATGATATAATAAATCACCTCCTGTTCTATGGTACCTTGAACAGCTTTGCAAATAAAATCACCACTATCAGTTATTTTATGCAGAGTAATAGTGAAACCAACACTGGGATCAAAATTAACATCATGATTCACTTCTGTGATCTGAAATAACAACACATAGTCACATGCATTATTTTAAGAATCTAATTACACTATTTATCCTCAATTTAAATTTGGCATTAAGTTAAATGGAAAGGTATTTATGGCAAAATTTGTTTGTTACCAGTATAAGTAAATATGTTTGAAAATGTATACTAGTGTTTAGAAATGAATTTTTCTTCAAAACACTGCATATGTGACTTTACCAAATTCTTGAACAAAGGACAAATAATCCTTCTCAAGACCAAATGCCAAATCTAAATTGCAAGCCTTCATTCTATTAAACATAATTATACATACTCAAAATATCTAAGTGACAATGTAGTTCCTGATGTTCCTCCCACAGTTTGCCTCTACACTCATAGATACCAATGTGCATGATGTTGATCGGGTCCAGAGTGAAACCAACAGTAGGATCATATGTCACATTCATAACACCTTCTTCATGGATACCTAAATGAATCTTGAGATATGGACATGCATAATTAACCTTTCTTCATAAGAAAACACACATACACACATATACACTAATCATAAAATACTTCTGAATCATATTGTTTTGGACTCCAGCAAGTTTTATGAGACAATATTTTTAATATCCCTGCAAATTTTGTGTATGGAGCAAGTTCCTGCATGCCATAGCCCCCACTAACCTAACACAGCCATGTCAAACAAATTAACATTAATAAACCATCAACATAACAAATTATAATAATATTTGAACCCAGTTTTTATTTCTGATTTTTATTCTATATAGTGACATACGATACATTATACTGAAGAAAGCAAAGACAAGCATCAGGATGCCATACATGACATGATGCTGGCAAACTGACATGGCACTGAGTATCAAAGGCCAATCATCCTCACATCAACACATGATTCCATATCAAGTGAACTTAAGACTCAGGACACGATTCAACATGATGTCAGTACCTGACACTTGTCATAGCCATGACTACTGCTCCAATGCTGACACAAGAACCTGAATCTAAAACAACCAGACTTAACTTATGCCACATACTATGACAGTGGCAGACTGACACTAAGTGCAGTGATGTCATCATCCCAAAACCAAAGAAGTCTTCAAATAAATTTTCAGAGTCCTCACAAATCAGGATTATTGATTAAGTTGGATTTGAGGTTTTCGCAGCATTGAGTCTGAAAATGGCTGTCTTCTAAGGTTGTTGCGCCATAAACTTCTACCAGACAACGTGACGCAAGAACCCAGTAGAGATCCATCTGCAGAATTACTGATTTTTTAAAAGATTTATATAAGTATGATTATATAATTTAGACATGAACTTTAGGTTGAACTGTAGTTTTGCTAAATTGTGAGTAATATGAAATATAGGCCTTAAAGTAACTATCATATTTCAGTTATAATTTTTGAACTTGTATTCCTTTATCCTGGTGCTGATGAATTTTCACAATAAAGCCAATTTTACACGTGGGTAAAGTTAAATATAAGTGACATTCATACCATGTGTGTGTCATTTTAACTACTCTGTGTCAACTGTATGCAAATTCCAAATGACAGGATGATGAATTTGTAAAGATGTGGAAACAGCAGTGGTCTGTTTTAATGTATTACCTCACCTTTGCCTGAAGGGATAAAGAAAAGCCACAAGAAACTTCAGTCATAACAGCCAATTCCCTGTGTCAAGAATGTAACACAGAATCTCCTGAATAAGAAGCAGGAGTGTTAACCACTACAATGTATTCTGAATTTACTGTGATGCGCATAAACAAACCTGAGTATTGTCCTTCCACAAGGTGACATTTACATCTAAGGATGTGGGTCGGCATGGGATAACTGCCGGTTGGTGTTGCTGAACAGCCTGTATTATGAAACTCTCATTTCTCACCAACAAATTTATCAAATCTGAAAAATAGCAACATAAATTTACAGCTGTCTCTAAGCCTGATGGCTAAAACAACACATTCTGTTACAATCATTGATGTAATCATATTGTTACTTTCCTTTCAAGTAAAACCTCACTGTAAAATCATACAAGAAATTTAGATTTTACCATCTTATATTCGAGGCAGGTAACGTTTTGTCCACCAATCTCTGCCGTGTATGTTGTATATTGTGATACATGCTAAAATGTATAATGAACAGATTTTGACAAGTAACCCAATCCAACAATCCTTGGGAGTAAAAGCACTATCTAGGCCTATCTATATAACTGTTACAGTATAAGATATACAAATGTAAGTGTGATAAAACAGTATACTGATTTGAATAGTCTATACTGTAGTATCGCTTTTATCACCATGAATATTATTAAACAGTAAATGGTTATTGCAGATCATAAAACATAACACTTTCTAACATTTTTCTACCCATAATTGGGAAAAATGTGAAATGTTAATCTTTGCTTACCTTTGATATATACATATACACGTGTTACATTTTCCAGAGCATTATGGAAGTCTGTGGTTCCATTTACAATACAGTAGTAGTATCCAGTATCTAAGAAATAGGAATTTGTCACTTTCAACACAGAGCGGTATTCTCCAGTATTTGTTATGGTGTTGGTAATGTTGATCATTGACATGAGGCCATAAGATTCATCCTACAAACAAAAAATAATTTCAAGTTATTGTCAAGATGTTAATAGTACCTACCTTGTATATTTCGAATGTGTCTTAACAGGGAGGTTATGTCTATCAGTCATGCACATATCTAGCTACTGAAAAGATTTCAAACAAATAAAATACTGAGATTAAATGAAAAGATTTCTCTGATGAATTTGGGTTCATTCACACTGGCTTAATGTAACCTTACATTACACTAAGATTAAATCAAACTTCCATCAAGGTTTACAATACAAAGAATTTGTGTATAATATAAAATATAAATTTAACTGAAATCTACAGCTCTTACCTGAAAAACTTTAAAATTTGCAAAACCATTGCTTCAAACATATTTACTTCTTCCTTCCTTGGGCCTACAATGTTTAGTGTAATATAAAGAACACAGTGTCTCCATCTGTATTTGATTACCAAAAAATTTGTAGGTTACTTTAGGTTATGAACACTCATCTTTGCCACAAGAGTAATATGATATGAAATAAGAATGTCATGATTTGTATCTGCACTAAATTAACTTAAAGACAATAAAAGAATAAATGTTTACAAAGGACCCATTTTATAAACATGTACACCTTTCTCCTCAAACAAATATGTAGATACCAAATTTGAAAATATTGCATTGCAATGCAAGTTCTATGTTTGTAATTGCAGAAGTATCTAACTTAGCAATTCACACTATACCTCTTCAGTATCCATGGTAAGCTGAGGATAAAACCAATGCACAGGTTTATCACATTCACAAACCAACTCAAAATCTTTACCAGAATTGACTTCTTTGGAGCCTGAGAATTCTGAAATCAACCGGGGTGGCTTGATTTCAACCACAGACTGAAAACCTGTGAACATATAAGAGTAATTAATTAATTACGTTTGTGAAGTTCATAGTTTTTTTTATCATCTATGGTCAGCTTGACCATTGTGATCCGTCGGGGTTTTCTTGCGAAAGTACCATGGTGGTTTTGCCTTGCCTTCCGTGGCCAGTCTTTACCCACCAGACTGGAAGAGGAGATGAGGACAAACAGTCATGCCTTGAGTGGGACTCAAACCCACGGTCGCAGCGGCCAGGCACATGAGAACCAAGCCTCAGACCACATGGCCACTGCGCCAGCGAAGTTCACAGTAGATGCTTGTAAATTGCACATGACTAATATATATCCAAAATGGTTGTCTGTACTAATAAAATGGAGGTCTTATTATTTTTTAAACTGTAATGTTTTTCATATTTTCTGTATAAGAGATATTACAGATGAAAGTGTTTATACAGCGGTTCCTTTTATCCTTGAAGTAAAATGACAGTCATACATGACCAATAAGACTCATAACAATAGACAATATTCTGCTTTTCTTTTAAAATTGTGCTTATCTAGTCAAGAAATTCACCACCCTCCCAGCCCATTTCCCTAAGATTAATTTTAATATTATCCTCCCATCTATGTCCAGGTATTCCAAGTGGTCTCTTCCGTTCCAGATTTCCAACCAAGATGTATGCATATCTCCTCTCCCCATGCACACTACATGCCTTGCTCATCTCATCCTTCTTGATTTGAACATACTAATAATATTTTATGAAGAATTATCTGCAATAATAATGTTATGTTGTGGACAAGAGATGTGAATTTGCATGGTTGGAACAGTTGAGAGTTGGCACCGGACAAGCTGACACTGGACGTACGCATCTGGCTCAAACTTTGGCGAAAACCAGTGTGAATCTTGGCCAGTATCCAGCTACCTTGACTGAGACTTCTTATGGTTTTCTTTCAGGAAAGTGCTGGTATAGTACTTTAAAATATATTAAAAATGCTTCATGCCACATCCCTCCTGATTCAAGATTCATGATTATTCCACAGTATCTACCTCATTGTTAAATAATCTCAGAAGATAAGAACATGCCATAAACTAGTAGGTATTTCTTTCTGCTCTCTTTGGACCAGTTACACCTACAAATTTCTGCCTTTATTTGAAAGTAATGTATCATCTGAACAACTGTGAATGCTGAATATGGATTATGTGAAAGGAAGCAGCCATGGTCTATTTTAGCATTTGCCCCAAGGCAGAAGAGCACCACAAAAAACCTGAGTCATGATAAATGGCCATCAGGTTGAGAATTAAACCCAGGACCTCCTGAATATTAAGTATGAATGCTAACCTCTTCATACAATATACCAAATTCAAAAACACAGCACCAGTCATACCCAGTAATGCACCTTTCATTACTTTTCAGCTTTTGATTTCTGTCTTGTCTTTTTGTCATATTTCACAGCCTTACAATTAAACCAATATATTTTCGTAAGATTTGAGGTTTTCACAGCAGTGAGTATGAAGATTTCTGTCTTCGAGTTTGTTGTGCTGTGTGGTCTGGTCGATGTTAACCAACGTTTCAGAGGTCATACTGCCTCCATCATCAGGGCGAAATGTTGGTTAACATCAACCAGGCTACACAGCACAACAACCTCGAAGACAGAAATCTTAACATATTTTAATTTAGTCTGAACTAGCCTGGCCTTCAAACGTCTATCAAAGGATAGACATGGACACATCTATCAATTCAGGTCAAGAACTGTACACTTTGTCAATATACTATTCTTGAATCACCCTATATGTGTTTGTATGTATAAATGTACATAAACTAATATGTTCAACAAGATGAACAAATAATGCAACTGCAATAAGTGGTAAATTAAATGATTTCTTTCCTTTTGACATCTCTACAGTGGGTCTCTGGCTCTTCAGAGTAAATTTTCTCATCATCAACTCTAACTCGATGAAATTCTCTATTTCTCGGTCCAATATTACATTGGCATATACCGTGACAATAAAAATTATAAGCCACAGCAATTGGATTGGTCATATATCGTAGAGAATGTTCAGAGGACATTTATTTTCATTACTCCTTGAAACAATTTCATTTTCATTCATACTGTAGATACATTGCTGCAAGATACATCAAAGAGAGGTACAGAATATGACAAAAGTTTGTATCCATGTTCAACATAACAAGAACGAAAGAAGTGCTTTATCAACTGCATTGGCTATACAGCATTGAATAATAGGATGATTCTAAACAAGCAGTCATAATCGATTTTGAAGAACAGCTGAAGTTTTCGGATCAACATTCGAACCCGGGACCTCCCAATTACAAAGCAGAAACAGTGGCCCTACGTCGTGACGTTTGCTACCGAATGAACGTCACTACTCCTGCTGTTACGTTTTGATTCGCCAATCAATCGTATGCTGGAGAATCAAAATATTTTACAGCATGAAATTTTTCGCACCGCCATTCCTAAAAAGATAAAGAGTAAACAACTCCACAGTCGGAAGGAAGTATGTGGCAGGCCTATACTGACGTAAATAAACTAGATACTGACTTATTTCCGGCTTTGACAATCTTCAAAACGCAGTATGCTTCTTCCTAGAAGTGTTTACTTACTGTTACTGTCACCATATTCCTTCGCTTCAATCGGATATAAATTTAAAAATCCGTCAATAATTATTATTTGCTGTACTCAATACCTACGGGCTGAACGACTGGGGTTCGATTCCGGGCAGGGACAGGGATATTTCTCTTCGCCTCCACAACCAGACTGGCTCTGGCGGCCATCAAATGTGCACGGAGAATTTCAATGGCTTTCAAGCGACTGGAGCCTGAAGCTAACCATTCACTTTCTCTTAGTGGTGAGGCTAAGAATACGAGAAAAATTTACCTCCATTCCACACATCATCACGGCATGGAGCAGAGAAAATTCTTTTATACATTGCCTCTTAAGGATTTTTTTCACGGTAATAAAGCGGTTAGAACGTGAAGCTCCCTCTACAACGGTAACTGTCACGTTCCCAAATGTTGATGATGGCCGGGTCGTTTTGTAGCTGACTTCAGTATCAATTTCACCGCAGGCAGGCAGTGGGCATTCATAATGTATGTGCAAGTACTCAAGAAGTATTTATCCTAAAA